AAAGTTCAAGCACATTAGTTCAGGGGAACTAATCTACTTGTACTTCCAATTCATTTCTGTAACATTGCAAGCTCCTGATGATATGATGGCAACATGAAAGGCCTGGAGTTATCATTCAACTACCTCTGTAATCCATTGACTACCACCCACACAAATGAGTATAGGGTGTATAATCAAGATGTTAAACTGAACTAACCCCTATGGTTGCTTTACAGATATATATGTATGGCTGTCTAGAGCTGTATCCAGTTATTTAGCTGTGCAGAGCTTTGTCCAGTTTCGATGTCTACAGCTTTTATCGTGTCTCGCTGTAAATAGCTTTATCAAGGCTTGTTTCACTCCATACAGAATAGTAACATAATGAAGTTCAGCACTAAACCCATAAGGGTTATGCAGCTCTGAGTAGAACTCCATCATGTGTTTCACTGTGTAGAGCTTTGTAAAGTCAGGGAGCCCGAAATGCCTTGCACAATAAGGGACTTTCTATAAAGTATTTTATATATGTCAGTAACCCTAATTGTATTATATACCATACTCCACTTTATCAAGTTTGTTTATTGAAAGACTATGTTTCCAGGCACTCCCCATTCTCTGAATATTCCACCTCGTCTCTCATAATAATAATCTTTATTTCTACAAGCACATGATACAACATACACAAACCACAACTGACATCAATGACATACTACTGTAGAGAAAGCCCCTTGTTATGCAAAGTATTTTGGGCAAATTAAGTTAATTTTGTCCCCAGAATGCAACCCACACAAGTCAACTAACACCCAAGTACCTATTTTACTGCTAGGTGAACATGGACAGCAGGTGTCTTAAGGTAACACGTCCTAAGGTTTCCATCCATACTGGGGATCAAACCACGAACCTGTGTGCGAGCCAAGTGCACTACCAATCGAGTTATGGGCCTAATAAGGCAGTAACTAACTGATTGCTTATAAATATGTTCTCTAAATAGTTATAAACAATAAGTTTAGGAATTACAAGGAATACAAGAGAACTGATTAGCATATTAATACAATTCTATATAACACAAATATGATGATCAAGGACCCCAGTGGAAGTAAACCACTTTGACTTTTTTGGGTTATCCTTGGTAATTTACACTGTGTATGATAAATTGTACTTGTGTGTACCTGTGTCTAAATAAACTTATTCTCAATGATTCAGGAACTGATGACAGCATAGTGTCGAAACCTCTAAACTTGTATGTGTTTATTGTGTTGATGTTCACTGTGTTGGTGAATATATAATATTTCAAGGGCAACTGTGTTAATACTGAGATGATCTGGTGACTATTTTTATAAATTTCTATAGGAATAGCATGGTTCTAAACCTGATTTTATTCCCTCCTTGTATTATTATTATTGTTATTATTATTAAAATAAAAAGTAATTGCTAAACCCACAAGGGTTCCCTCCCTATAGATAATTACATATTTAAATAATAATGATATATAATAATTATAATTTATCAAGATACAGTTTTAATAAGATTGGATATTTCACTTGAGTCTGCGACATTCTCTGTATGTATTCTTGCTTAGGATGATGGAAGAGGAGGAAGAGGGAAGGGAGATGGTGAGAGAATAGTAGGTGGAGGGAAGGAGGATGGAAGAGGAGGAAGCTGGGAGAGAAGTAGGTGGAAGGAGGGAGGATGGAAGAAGAGGAAACTGGGAGACAAGTAAGTGGAGGGAGGGAGGATGGAAGAAGAGGAATCTGGGAGACGAGTAGGTGGACTGAGGGTGACAGGTGATAGGAGAGGGAAGAAGTGATTGGTAAACACATAAAGGGAGGAATGTGGGAGGGAGAGTAAACATGAGAGGATAGAGGATGTGAAAAAAATAGTCCTGTAGGGATATTGAGCTATGATTCACGTCCAGGTGGCACACTTACCTCAGAGTTGGACTATCCGTTTGTCACAATGGGTACAGTGCCCTGGGCATACAAAAGTGTAGTTTGGAAAAATTATCATATACCTGATATCACAAGGACCTCAATGGAAATAATTCATTTTGACTTTTGGGTTCATCCTAGGTAATTTACACATTACTATGTATGATAATTCTTAATAAACTTACTTACCCGAGATTTACCTGTGAGCAGTTTCTAGTTTTCCTAACCTACCTTCTGGGCCTGGGACCAGGCTTGTCTTTTGTTTGCCTGGTCAACCAGGACCCCAGTAGCAATAAGTCACTCTGACTTTTTTTGCTTATCCTAGCACATATGTACTTTAAACTAGGAATGGTAATTGTACGGTACTTATCATTTTTCCTTGATAATGTAAGTAATAACAAAAGTGCTTGTAATTTCACTATTTTTTACTGTGGTTATTTTGCATATTGTGATATATTTACTATGATGTTATTGCATCAATTGTACTTACGTGTACAACTGTGTGTGAGGCGAGACAGTGTCTGTGGTTCGATCCCCAGCATGGGTGGAAACATTGGGCATGGTTTCCTTACACCCCTGTCCCCGTTCACTAGCAAGTAGATACATGGGTGTTAGTCGGCTGTGTGAGTCATATCCTTGGGGACAAGACTGAGGACCCCCAGTAGAAATAAAACATGAGTTCCTCAATGATGCATTGACTTTCTTGGGTTATCTTGGGTGGCTAATCCCCCAGGGTTAAAAATCCAAACAAAACCTCATCTTATGATTGCTTTGTTGAATTCCTAAAGCTGATTTCAAAGTTTCTAAGTATCAGTCTATAATTACTGGGTATATTAGCATACTAAACAGACTTTAATCCAACCCAAGAAGACAATGGCAAGGATCGAATAAGTGGAAATAAAGACAATAAAGACATAGGTGGCATAGGATCCTTCTAGTGCAGAGTTTGGTCCAAGTTTGGCTTTTATCACATACTTCATAAAGCCCAAGATCCTCTGCTACCAGTCTCTTTATTTCCCCTTGAATCCAACACCTATGGCACTTACTAGACATTGTATACAAGTATTTATCTATGGGGTTAATCTTTGTACTTGGGACAACGGTTATGATAGTGCATAGGGCCTATGAAGGCTTTAATCTGAACCTTACCTACCTGTTGTCCACCTATAATTTGGGGGTCATCACCCCTTCAGCCCAGTCCCAGACCAGGTTTCTGCTATGGTGATAGAGACTGTGTACTGATGGTGGTAGTTAGTGTTGGTGTCCAGTGATATATGTGGTCCAAGAAAATTCATCATTTTTTTAAGCTGAATGCTAAGTTACTTAATACAGGATGTAAATGGGATATCTAGACTTTTATACTGTATTTTGAAATCCTGTTAAAAAACAAAAATGAGTTACAGTTTGAGTTCCAGGCATTTACACCATAGTTGTACTCCAGAGGCACCACCCATCAATGTTTTGATATGGTCGGAATATTGGAAATGAAGCTCCATGGGGAAGAGGAGAAGAATCCTTCCTCCATAAGCCATGTGTGTCATAAGAAGCAACTAAAATGACAGGAGCAAGTAACCCCTTCTCCAGTATAAATTACTAAATGTAAGAAAAACTTTCTCAAAGGGTTTCTTCTTTTTTTGGGTTACCCTGCCTTGAGAGAGACTGCCAGTGTGTTAAATAAAAAAATACAAGTTCCTAGACAACATTCCAAACTTCCTGACTGATGCCAGATAAGTTTACCTGGAGAGAGTTTACCTGGAGAGAGTTTACCTGGAGAGAGTTTCGGGGGTCAACGCCCCCGCGGCCCGGTCTGTGACCAGGCCATCATCTTGAAGAAATAACAGTCGTTGCCTGTTCTTCAGATTTTACTCATTAACCATTGCCTTTAGGGGGTCAGGCACTAATATAAAATTGAAATAGCTTAAAATTCTGCACCTAACAGTATATGTACATATTTAAATTTTAACGTGTCTAATTAATTTTCAGAGAAAATATACAAATTTCACAATCGCTAGGGGCCCCCACCCCTCAAGGAAGGTTCCTTGATGTTGGTGAGGGGCTCTTGATTTAGGGAATTGGATCTCTGCTCCAGTTCCCCGAATTAAGCCTGAATGCCTTCCACATCTCCCCCCCCCCCCCAGGCGCTGTATAATCCTCCGGGTTTAGCGCTTCCCCCTTGATTATAATAATAATAATAGGAGCCCCCATCTATATTTTCAATTGTTTAATGCACCAGTGGAAAATATAGAAATGCAGTGTCACATTTTTTTTTCTGTATTTTATAGCATAAGGCTATGTTCTTATTTTAATGATAAAAGCTGAAATATACTCAGTGAAAGAACTGTGTTTTACATGATGAACGTTGAATACTGACAGACAGTTATAAACTGAAATATAATGGAAATGAATTATCATCCTTGTGTGATGAAAGGTTTCCAACAAGTAGTGTAGTCACTGCCAAATAAAATGAAAGCCTTTCAACATACAGTGTAGTCAAGTACAGTTTAAGGTTTTCAACAGGCAGTGCAATCACTGTCAAGTACAGTTTAAGGTTTTCAACAGGCAGTGCAATCACTGTCAAGTACAGTTTAAGGTTTTCAACAGGCAGTGCAATCACTGTCAAGTACAGTTTAAGGTTTTCAACAGGCAGTGCAATCACTGTCAAGTACAGTTTAAGGTCACTGTCTTTCAACAGGCAGTCTAGTCACTGTCAAGAACAGTATTCCTACAATAACTAGAGCTAGTAAAATGCTATAGCAATGGACTGTGTTGAGAGGCAAACTGTATGAGCACATGAAGACTGTATGAAGGAACACACGAGCTAAGATATAATTAGAGCCAAGGTCTTTACCTTGGCTCTAATTGTATCTTAGTAAGAGAGAATACAATAAAAGAAAATACAATAAAGGGAAAAAAAATCTGCAGGCCAGGCATTTGATTTCATATTTGTTCACTGAAATATACAAGGCTAAAAAAAAAAAAAAAAAAAAATCCTGTAAGTAGGTGGAAAATTTGGAGTGTTTCCTTTGGTTTCAAAGGAAAGGTACTAGAAAAGGCAAATGAAAAAGGAGTGGAATATGTGGTGTACCTCGCTTGGTAGCTGAAGCCATGTGTGTCTCGCTTGGTAGCTGAAGCCATGTGTGTCTCGCTTGGTAGCTGAAGCCATGTGTGTCTCGCTTGGTAGCTGAAGCCATGTGTGTCTCGCTTGGTAGCTGAAGCCATGTGTGTCTCGCTTGGTAGCTGAAGCCATGTGTGTCTCGCTTGGTAGCTGAAGCCATGTGTGTCTCGCTTGGTAGCTGAAGCCATGTGTGTCTCGCTTGGTAGCTGAAGCCATGTGTGTCTCGCTTGGTAGCTGAAGCCATATATGCCTTGCTTGGTAGCTGAAGCTATATATGCCTCACTTGGTAGCCATATATGCCTCGCTTGGTAGTTACAGTTATATATATCATGAAAATCCTATGCCATCAATGCAAGAACCTGCATCAATATAACCCAAATAAATTTTTGGAGTTCTTGAATTGAATGTCACCTAATGTAAAAAACAATGCCTATAATGTCTTCTAATGTATAAAATAGTACCTATAACTTCTTCTTTCAACAAACCCGCCGTATCCCACCGAGGCAGAGTGGCCCAAAAAGAAAAACAAAAAGTTTCTCTTTTCAAATTAATTTATACAGGAGAAGGGGTTACTAGCCCCTTGCTCCTACCTATAACTTACTAGCTTATAACCCAAATATTTTTTTCTTAGAATCATATACAATGATATGCCTTTGTAATCTTAGGCTTAAACATGCCCAAAATAGTATACGTACTGCATAATATTGGGATTTCAACATGCACTCAAAGGTCACTCAATACCGTATAAATATTTTTTTTCTCAACACACTGGCCGTCTCCCACTGAGGCAGGGTGACAAAAAAAAAAAAAAAAAAAAAATCACCATCATTCACACATAATCACCGTCTTTGCAGAGGCATGCAAATATGACAGTTCAGATGTCACTCTGAACAGCAACTATCCCAAACCCGTCCTTTAAAGTGCAGGCATTGTACTTCCCATCTCTAGATTGAAGTCCGGCTAACCGGTTTCCCTGAATCCCTTCACAAGTGTATGCGTTGAAATAAACTTGCATAAAGCAGGGGTTCCCAACCGGCAGCCTGTGGGCCACACATAACCCTTCTAGGAAAAGGATGCGGCCCCCACATGAAATTATGAATTCACTTTCATGTAGGTTCCACACTGCACAGTATCAACAAAACTATGTGGCCCTCATCATACATTTGACCAAATGTGGCCCACTTGTGTAGGAAGGTTGAGCACCACTGATGTTGAGGAGACACACGATTGGCAATTTGGAAGAACATGCAGTGGCAGAAGGAAGGTACATTATAAGAATCATGAACATGAGATGGTGGTGGTATCATGAGAAAATATGCACAGGCTCATGATAATGAGTGGCATGTCTTGAGGGAGTGCCACTGGAACAAAATTTCCTTCAATGCATACAAAATTCTTATAAATCATTTGTGTACTGTATTGTAAATTTATTTTAGGATCATTTTGTTACAAAACTACTACAGTATGGTAATACAATTTGTCATCACACTGAAATAAGAGCACAGCATACTAACCAGTACAAACACATAGGTACTGTAATATTACTTTTTGGGAAGAAAATGAGCCTAGTTCATGCTCTGTATCTCTCACCAGATTAACCAACTACCTCGTACATTTATACAGTACATTTTTAATATTTCTCACCAGATTAACCATCTACCTCGTACATTTATACAGTACGTTTTAATATTTCTCACCAGATTAACCATCTACCTTGTACATTTATACAGTACATTTTAATATCTCTCACCAGATTAACCATCTACCTCGTATATTTATACAGTACGTTTTAATATCTCTCACCAGATTAACCACCTACCTCGTACATTTATCCAGTACATTTTTAATATTTCTCACCAGATTAACGAACTACCTCATATATTTATACAATACAATGTTGTACTATCACATTCTCTACTGCGTTCTGAAGAGTAAATTTTTTGAGAATGCAAACAATGAAGAGATAATTAAGTTGTATTTCATAGTACAGCAATATAATACAGTACATACATATTTTTGCTTGGTTCTCAAACTTCATTTGAAGAATTTACAACTAGGCTTAAGTAAAATTTCTTAACTATTAATGCTAAGAGCATTATATATACATCAAGCTATCAGCACTCAGGTGTGGTGAAGATACTTGAACACAGTTGAGGACATTTCTTAAAGGGAACGATACACTACAAGTGACTCCTTTATTAGGACTGATGAAGCCAATGGCGGCAAAGCATTTCCTTCAATAAATACCCTAAAGTGTACATGTATGTCTTTTTCCGAATCTTGTCAGTAAAGTCATACCCAGCTTTACGTCATTTCAGCTTACGTCAAATTCACCTTTACGCCACTTTTCTAAAAGACTTTATGTCCCTCAGCAACGTCACCTACAACATAATTTTTTTAACTCTGTTCATTATTCTTTAAAAAATATGTCTATAATGTGTTTTTATCGTTCTTTAAGGTTTAGCAATAGTTATATTCTTTCATGAGTTATTTATGCTAGTTTTACGGTGTTTGTCATCATTTTAAGGCATTTTTAAGACATTAAGTCCGGTATACATCAAAAACCAGGTTACGTCACGGTTCTTGGAACCAATTAATGACGTAGAGCAAGGTATGACTGTATCACCATACCATTTGCCTCCACTCAGGTGCTGACTGGTTAACTGACATCTTGTAATTTGTACACTAAAATAAAAGAGTGATGAAGCCATTTTCTGGAGCAAATTCTCTTCACAAGAATTCTTTAAGGTATAAATAAAATGAATAAGCAAACTGATAATGTGTGTAAACCCATGATAAGTTATGATGAATGACTCAGTGAATAAACATGTGGGTTGCATCCTAGGGAAGAGGATACACAAATAACCAGCACATAGGAGAGGAAGAGGAGCACACAACGACGTTTTGATCTGACCTGGACCATGTACAAAGTCACACTGTGACTATAAATAGTCTTAGTCGGACCAAAATGCTGTCATAATCTCCTCTCTCCTATGTGCGGGTTATTTGTGTATTGTTCCAGTCACGGTATTGTGCCTTTTTATTCTTTAGGGGAGAGGATTATACAACACCAATGGAAATAAGAATGAGGATGGTGTAGTTTGGAGGTCCATCTGAACTATCATTTTAGCACGTTTCTTACAATATAACAGCTGCACTAGTGACTGTTAATGTATTTTCTCTTTTGTATGTCACCCTTCCTAGGCGAGAGACAGCCGGTGTTAAAAAAAAAATCAAATCAGGATGAGCAGTGGATGAGTTTTGCACACAAACTGATTTTGAATATAAAAATTATTTATTCTGCTAAGAGGTTTGCTCCTCCCTTCACAATGTTAGTCTGAACTTATTGCTTACATGAACACAAAAAGACACAAGAAACAAATTACATATTTGGAAATTAAAATGAAAATGCCATTTGTTGACAAAGGTACAAAAGGAACAACTGGAACAGGGGCAGGGATAGTATGTTCACATCACCAGTCCTGTATTATTTGGAAGATACAATAAGCACATGCATAGGGTCTATGAAATTCCAGGAATTTAAAAAAAGTTTAAGGCCTAACACAAATTTTTAATATGTAGGAAATGGAAATTACTAAAGCAAACTTTGTAATTTGATCAATTTAAAAGCTGCCGTTTTATTTTCCATTTTTTGTTTTATGAAAAACTCAAAAAATTTGACAACAAAAAATATTCTTTTATTCTCAATATTTCTAAAAAAAATCAAGATATAGCATTTTGAGGCCTGAAAATTTAAGAAATGCTACATTTTTTTTATGAACATAAGGCTGTATTGTCTTTGCTGCTGAAGAGTGCCTAGGCTAGAAAGACCTTAATTCAGCCCTGACAAATAGACAACAAAAAAAAACATCCTTTGGCTGCATTAATGTTCTCTGCTTGCAATGTAATTCCCTGAAATAGTCCTCTGCCCACAGCCAATTGCCTAGATAGATAGATAGATAATCCTGCTTTCTCCCACTATCAACAGCCAGTTGCCTCTCATATCGTACTGTACTATCCTCATGGGAATGTGCCCTTATGTTGCTAAAGGCTCTTGATCCAAGAAATTTGAATCCTTAGTTAAATCAAACTCGATTGGCTCTCATCCCCCCGACACTATGACCCTTACAGGTTTAATGCTTCCCCTTGATCATAATTTTTTTTGTTCTTTTTAATGCACCGGCCGTCTCCCACCGAGGTAGGGTGACCTAAAAAGAAAAATTAAAATTTCTCTTTTAAATTTAGTAATTTATCCAGTATGAATATGGGTATACAGTACCGACATGTTGATAAGTAACACATGTGCAACAGTTAGGTATCATTATTCCGAATTAAGATAACTAACTGTTGACATGTCTTATCAATTTATACAGAAGGGGTTACTCCTGGTAATCATAAAATAATACACTAATTTATATTCGTCAATACTGTCAAATTGTCATAATGTATTTGTTTGTTGTGTCTACACTGTGTTGTCCAATGCATTAATTACACATCATTCATTAACACTCCATTATACAATGTAATTTACATGACTAATTATTACATTAAACGAGATTACAGTATTCGTCTTTCTCTAATACATAATTTATATGCAATCCACTTAAATTATCAACAGACTAGATTCATTCCAACCAAATATAAACTTATACCGTCACCACAAAATAAACTATCATCAAAAAAATAAAATTATATCTACTGCTAACGAATATGACACATTGTGGAGAGATTTGACATACATTAAGCTCTATTATAAAGCTCCTCTATATACAGAAATTTTTGGAAAATGTGATTGAAAGCACAGTTTGTGCTTAATACAACAGGCCTCAATAAAGTGGATTTAAATTAGATAAATTTAGATTTAGAAAGGATATGGGTAAGCACTGGGTTTTCAAGAGAGTTGTCGATGAGTGGAATAATCTTCCAAGTAGGGTAATAGAAGCTAAAACCTTGGGTAGCTTTAAAAAGACATTAGACAAATATATGACTGGGAAGGGCTTGGTATGATTAGTACTTGAGGTACTGAAGTAAAATCTTGGGTGGCTTTTGGAAAATGTTAGACAATTAGGTAGGTGGGAATGGTTAGTTTTGAAAAGGACTTGTCTAATATGGGCTGTGGCTGTACGTTGCTTTGCGTGCAGCCAGCAGTAACAGCCTGGTTGATCAGGCTCTGATCCACCAGGAGGCCTGGTCACAGACCGGGCCGTGGGGGCGTTGACCCCCGGAACTCTCTCCAGGTAAACTCCAGGTAATACCTGCTGTAGAGTTCCTTGATTCTTTTTTTTTCTAATGTGCAGGCTGTCTCCTACCAAGGCAGGCTGACCCCCTAAAAAAGAAACACTTTCACCATCATTCACACATAATCACTGTCTTTGCAGAGCTGTGCAGAAATGATAGTTCAGATGTCACACCAAATAGCAAATATCCCAAACCCCTCCTTTAAAGTGCAGGCATTGTACTTCCCACCTCCAGGACTCAAATTTGGCTAATCAGTTTCCCTGAATCCCTTCACATTCCAACAGCTCTACAAGTCCCAAAAACTATTCATCTCCATTCACCTTGATTCTTATGTTCTTATAACAGAACTCTGAAACAACAAACATGATCCAATGGGTAAACTGTATCTCCTACTTTTTTATTCTCAATGTTCATTGTAATATATCTGTACATTAAATTCTACTGGGAAGTACAGTGCCTGCATTCTAAAGGAGGGATTTGGGATATTTGCTGTTTAGAGTGGCATCTAAACTATTGTAACTCTGCACCTCTGGAAAGAAAGTGATGGTGGAAATGTTGGTGAGTTTTTTTTTTTGGGGTCACCTTACCTTAGGGAAAACTGCCAGTGTGTTAAAAAAGAATCTGTACATTATGGGCACAGTGCTATGCTAGGTATATGGGGGGACCAGTCCTGGAACAAAAATGGGAGAACCAATGCTTTTTTCTGATGTTTTTAACATATCACAGAATGGGTGGGGGTTGAACCCATGGTAGGTGAGTCCCAAAATTCTCAGTCATGAGTTGAAACCCCACCTACTCCATGATTTATGTGCAACTGTGTTATTACAACTTCCTAAGATTTATAAAAAAGAATCTGATTTACTGGACACATGGAAAGATCCTATGGTACGTGCTAATCCATTCTGGATGTGCTTTTTTAATTACATTCACAAAAAAAAAAACACACTCTATGAAGTAGCTTTATAAGAGAGCTCACTGTATACAAATTATGTCAGCTCTCAATACTGGCTTGTCATGCAGTGAAGATTATCGGCTTAGTAACAACCTCCATGGCCAGACTCACTCTAGGTAACTGTACTTCAAAACTTAGAGCCATCAGAAAATTCACAAGAAATTGGTAGAATGGCTTCATATGGCTTTCATAGTGACCTTGAAAGGTCTAGATCTATGTACCTGAAATGCATTGTATAACTACGGGGTTCAATATGTAGGAAAAACCCAAAATGTATTGCGTACTAGTGGCTTTCTTGTTGTGCCTAACAAAGTTTTAATAAACGTAAACTACGTGATTTTTGTACCAGCATTATTAGAAATAAAACAAGTACGTATATATTACAATATATCGTGGATAATAAAACTGACTTTAACAGTAAAGTGTATCTGAGAAGACAGCAACTTGTTGATCACATCTTAGTTATGCAACAGAATGTAAGGCTCAATATTCCTGCTTTGTATTTTTAATATATGCAATAGTCCCTTCAGGAAAAGGGGGGTTCTCTAATGACTGCAAAGGACATATGATACAAAGAATTTTAGTTATTCTCCATTCCCTGGATCAAACCTGATTACTTCCTGTTCCCCCAGGCGCTGTACAGTCCTTATGGGTCCAGCGCTTCCCCTTAATTATTATAACACATGCAACAGCATGTTTAGTGTATCAATGATACTTCTCAGAGCCACAAACATACTGGTACAAATATATATACTGCAAATTGTTTGTGTATTGCCTATTATTTTTTCTCTGAAAATCAAAACACTTTTTTTTTAAAAAACTACAGGAAAAATCTCAAAGAGTTTACATGAAAGGCTTCAGCCGTTCTTGTGAACATAGCCAATTCTTGAGTATGCATTATGTGGTCGCACTGGCTGTAGAGGTCTGGTTCTGTAACCTCTGTTTCGCTTGTAGCCATATCTTAATGGCTTATGATGGCCAGGAATGTCAATGCTGATGCTGTTGTCCTGTGTGTTGTTGCTGTCCGTGTTGGTAGCATTGGCCTTTGCTCGAAGCGTCTTCATACATGTCCAGTAATGACGACCACGAAGCCAATCACAAGTGCCATTTGGACCTCGAAGACATATCTGTTGACATTGTGACAATGTTATCTAATATACTAAATGGTAAGCATACACAAAGAGAACAGAATAGTACAGAAAAACCCTCTCATAACTTGAGAGAGATGTTCCCAAAACATTCAGTTTTTATGTAAAGTGAAAAACACATGGAAAAAGTAGGGTTATGTTCTTGACACCTCAAAAAATGCCAAACAATTTTTTTCTTAAAATCTAACAGGTAAAAAAAAAAATGATCTTACCTTAAATTCTAATATATATTACTTGTTTACATATAAGTGTGTGGAGAGGGCTAATGAGGCTCTACTGGGCAACTGGATGTAGAGAGAAGCTTATCACTGAAAACTAGGTATGCATAGGAAGATGTCCCTCGAGTTATGCATGGTACTTATACTCATCTATACGTGGTTGGGGGTAAGGTAAATGGTGGGTGACAGATAGAACTGGGGTTGGTGAAGGGTGACAAGATAGTATTGGGGTTGGTGAAGAGAAACAGATAGTACTGGGGTTAAAGGAGGGTGACAGATAGTATTGGGATTGGTAGTGGGTGACAGATAGTATTGGAGTTGGCAAAGGGTGACAGTACTGGGGTTGGTGGAGGGTGACAGATAGTACAGGGGCTGGTGGAGGGTGACAGATAATACTGGGGTTGGTGGAGGGTAACAGATGGTACTGGGGTTGGTGGCGGGTGACAGATGGTACTGGGGTTGGTAGAGGGTGACAGATAGTACTGGGATCAATAATAATATCTATATAAAAAGCCCCTAGTAATGCAGAACATTTTGGGCAAATCAGGTCAATTTTGTCCCAGGATGTGACCCACATCAGTCGACTAATACCCAGGTACCCATTTTACTGATGGGAAACAGGGATGACAGGTGCAAGGAAACACGCCCAATGTTTCCACCCTTGCCAGGAATCGAACCTGAACCCTCAGCATGTGAAGCGAGAGCTTTGCCAACCAGGCCACAAGCCACCTTGCTGGTGAAGGGTGACAGATAGTCAATATTGGGGTTGGTGGAGGGTGACAGACAGTACTGGGGTGAGTGGTGGATGAGAGATAGTATTGGGGTTGGTGACAATGATAATAAGAATATTATTACTATTTTTTTTATTATTATCACACTGGCCGATTCCACCAAGGCAGGGTGGCCCGAAAAAGAAAAACTTTCACCATTATTCACTCCATCACTGTCTTGCCAGAAGGGTGCTTTACACTACAGTTTTTAAACTGCAACATTAACACCCCTCCTTCAGAGTGCAGGCACTGTACTTCCCATCTCCAGGACTCAAGTCCGGCCTGCCGGTTTCCCTGAACCCCTTCATAAATGTTACTTTGCTCACACTCCAACAGCACGTCAAGTATTAAAAACCATTCGTCTCCATTCACTCCTAACAAACACGCTCACGCACGCCTGCTGGAAGTCCAAGCCCCTCGCACACAAAACCTCCTTTACCCCCTCCCTCCAACCTTTCCTAGGCCGACCCCTACCCCGCCTTCCTTCCACTACAGACTGATACACTCTTGAAGTCATTCTGTTTCGCTCCATTCTCTCTACATGTCCGAACCACCTCAACAACCCTTCCTCAGCCCTCTGGACAACAGTTTTGGTAATCCCGCACCTCCTCCTAACTTCCAAACTACGAATTCTCTGCATTATATTCACACCACACATTGCCCTCAGACATTACATCTCCACTGCCTCCAACCTTCTCCTCGCTGCAACATTCATCACCCATGCTTCACACCCATATAAGAGTGTTGGTAAAACTATACTCTCATACATTCCCCTCTTTGCCTTCAAGGACAAAGTTCTTTGTCTCCACAGACTCCTAAGTGCACCACTCACCCTTTTCCCCTCATCAATTCTATGATTCACCTCATCCTTCATAGACCCATCCGCTGACATGTCCACTCCCAAATATCTGAATACATTCACCTCCTCCATACTCTCTCCCTCCAATCTGATATCCAATCTTTCATCACCTAATATTTTTGTTATCCTCATAACCTTACTCTTTCCTGTATTCACTTTTAATTTTCTTCTTTTGCACACCCTACCAAATTCATCCACCAATCTCTGCAACTTCTCTTCAGAATCTCCCAAGAGCACAGTGTCATCAGCAAAGAGCAACTGTGACAACTCCCACTTTATGTGTGATTCTTTATCTTTTAACTCCACGTCTCTTGTCAAGACCCTCGCATTTACTTCTCTTACAACCCCATCTATAAATATATTAAACAACCATGGTGACATCACACATCCCTGTCTAAGGCCTACTTTTACTGGGAAATAATTTCCCTCTTTCCTATGTACTCTAACTTGAGCCTCACTATCCTCGTAAAAACTCTTCACTGCTTTCAGTAACCTACCTCCTACACCATACACCTGCAACATCTGCCACATTGCCCCCCTATCCACCCTGTCATACGCCTTTTCCAAATCCATAAATGCCACAAAGACCTCTTTAGCCTTATCTAAATACTGTTCACTTATATGTTTCACTGTAAACACCTGGTCCACACCCCCTACCTTTCCTAAAGCCTACTGTAATAATAATAATAGTTCTACTGCAATAATAAGAGTAAATAATAATAATCTATTTCTACATGAGACAGTTTTTACAAAATCATAAGACATTTAATAGTATACATAGAAAGCCTATGATAATACAGAGGGCATAATAAACATTCTTACATATAGAGGCAGGCCCTGCTTTGCAGCTCTTCATTTTACAGGTGTTTCACTGATACAGTGGCTTTCAATTATACTTATTCTTCATTTATTCAGACTTTCTACAATAAATATATTTACCATTCACTATAAGCTAAAGATGAAAATATTTTAAAGTAAGTACTGTGTGTACTGTATATGCATTTCTTAGGCCTAGCTCTATTGCTCACTTAATATATGATAGTGTAAACATGTTATCAAGCTTTTATATACATTTGAAAGTGAAAAAAGGCTATGTTTCACTTTACAGCAGTAGCTCAGAACCTAACCTGCTGTATAAGCAGGGCACTGTGTATACAGTAGAGTACAGCCTCTCCTCACTTAGCAACGTACTACTTGTTTACCGACGACTCGGACTTACGACGGCTCTCTGACCAATATGCATACCTAAATAATGTATATTAGAGCTGATTTCCTCTATTCTGTTTATTACAATATACAGTACACTACTTTATAAACATTTAAAATGTACTAAAGACGTTATAAATGGTGCAAGGGTGACAATATCAAAGATGGTTGACACAAACCCACTACCATCATATTATGCTCCTCACTTAGCGATGAATTCGTTTACCGACATGGTCTTAGGAACGAAACTCCATCGTTAAGTGAGGAGAGGCTGTATTTAAATATCTTTTTCTTTTCTATTTTTAAGAATTATTCTGAGTTGATGGATACTCAGACTATAAATTCGGATAAATGCTTAATTTCGTCTCAAGTTTTACTGGGTAAAGGAGAAATCCGTTTATCTGCTCCTCACACACAAACCTTTCCATTTAGCCCACTATACTGAGAGTTTACTGTATATATTATTAATTATGCAATGCACAAATCCTGGTTAGAGTTGTGCTCCTAAAACCCACATGTAACCTTGATATGCTCTGCATAATCATGGGTTCTCTGCATGCACAACCAAATGTCACCCATCTCTGTACATTGTATCATGTGACAAAGACAAAGATTTATTTATCTGTATAGGTTACAACGTATAATTACAATTTTGATGTGTTAGGTACAAAGAAAGCCACTATCATGCCAGGGCATTTTGAGCAGACTAATCCTAATGCTTAAAGAGTACTCAAGTCTAGACAGAATAAAAGTGGTTAATTTTTTATTAATCTTCAACTGTTGATGAAGAAAGCCACAAGACTCACTGATTGTCGACCCTGGCAGTCGTTCTTTTCCAGGGAGGTCTCCCAGGCACAGAAGAAGTTAGCCTTGGGGCAGCGTTCCCAGTGATGGCATGACATGATCTGCAACACAAAAACCATTGTACTACACTCTGTGACCATATATTATACTGTAAATACAGTGGACCCCCGCATACCGTTGGCATCACATAACATTAAATCCGCATACCGATACATTTTATCGCTAAGATTTTGCCTCACATACTGCTAAAAAACTCACTCAATGCTATTCGTCTGAGACGCGTCTAATGTGCGGCCTGAGCCAGCCTCACATGTTCCGCGGGTGGCACTGTTTACCAACCAGCCTCCGCGGTAATATCCAAGCATACAATCGGAACATTTCGTATTATTACAGCGTTTTTGGTGATTTTATCTGCAAAATAAGTGACCATGGGCCCCAAGAAAGCTTCTAGTGCCAACCCTACAGGAATAAGGGTGAGAATTACTATAGAGATGAAGAAAGAGATCATTGCTAAGTATGAAAGTGGAGTACGTGTCTCCGAGCTGGCCAGGTTGTATAGTAAACCCCAATCAACCATCGCTACTATTGTGTCCAAGAAAACGGCAATCAAGGAAGCTGTTCTTGCCAAAGGTTCAACTGGGTTTTCGAAACAGAGATCGCAAGTGATAGAAGATGTTGAGAGACTCTTATTGGTGTGGATAAACGAAAAACAGATAGCAGGAGATAGCATCTCTCAAGCGATCATAAGTGAAAAGGCTAGGAAGTTGCATCAGGATTTAATTAAAAAAATGCCTGCAACTAGTGATGTGAGTGAATTTAAGGCCAGCAAAGGTTGGTTTGAGAGATTTAAGAAGCGTAGTGGCATACATAGTGTGATAAGGCATGGTGAGGCTGCCAGTTCGGACCACAAAGCAGCTGAAAAATATGTGCAGGAATTCAAGGAGAACATAGACAGTGAAGGACTGAAACCTGAACAAGTGTTTAATTGTGACGAAACAGGCCTGTTTTGGAAGAAAATGCCAAGCAGGACCTACATTACTGAGGAGGAAAAGGCACTCCCAGGACATAAGCCTATGAAAGACAGGCTTACTCTTCTCATGTGTGCCAATGCAAGTGGTGATTGCAAAGTGAAGCCTTTATTAGTGTATCACTCTGAAACTCCCAGAGCATTCAGTCAAATAAATATCCTCAAGGCTAATTTGTGTGTGCTGTGGAGGGCAAACAGTAAGGCATGGGTCACTAGGGACTTTTTCTATTGACTGGTTACACCAAGCATTTGCCCCCAATGTGAAAAATTACCTAACTGAAAAGAAATTAGACCTTAAGTGCCTCCTGGTGTTAGACAATGCCCCTGGTCATCCTACAGACTTGGCAGAGTGACTTTGTGGGGACATGAGCTTCATTAAGGTCAAGTTTTTGCCTCCTAATACCACTCCTCTCCTGCAGCCCATGGACCAGCAGGTTATTGCAAACTTCAAAAAACTGTACACAAAAGCTCTGTTTGAAAGGTGCTTTGTAGTGACCTCAGAAACTCAATTGACTCTAAGAGAGTTTTAGAGAGAGCACTTTAATATCCTCAATTGTGTAAACCTTATAGGTAAGGCTTGGGAGGGAGTGACTAAGAGGACCTTGAACTCTGCTTGGAAGAAACTGTGGCCAGAATGTGTAGACCAAAGCGGTTTTGAAGGGTTTGAGGCTAACCCTGGGAATCCTATGCCAGTTGAGGAATCCATTGTGGCATTGGGAAAGTCCTTGGGGTTGGAGGTTAGTGGGGATGATGTGGAAGAGTTGGTGGAGGAGGACAATGAAGAACTAACCACTGATGAGCTGATAGATCATCTTCATCAGCATGAGGCCACACGTGAGGAAACTGCTCCGGAGGAGGGGAGAGAGAAATTGAAGAAGTTGCCTACTTCAAAGATTAAGGAAATCTGTGCAATGTGGCTTAAAGTGCAAACCTTCATGGATGAAAATCACCCTCAGACAGCTGTTGCAAGCCGTGCTGGTGGCTATTACACTGACAATGTTGTGAACCACTTTAGGAAAGTCATAAAGGAACGAGTGGTACAGACCTCTATGGACAGATATGTTGTGCGACAGAAGTCCAGTGACTCTGAAGCTGGTCCTAGTGCCATTAAAAGAAGAAGGGAAATAACCCCAGAAAAGGACTTGACACCTCAAGTCTTAATGGAAGGGGATTCCCCTTCTAAACACTAAGACTCTCTCCTCCTCCCATCCCATCAATCATCACCAGATCTTCAATAAAGGTAAGTGTCACGTAACTGTGCATGTCTTCTTCAGTTTGTGTGTATTAAAATTAATATTTCATGTGGTAAAAATTTTTTTTTTTCATACTTTTGGGTGTCAGGAACGGATTAATTTGATTTCCATTATTTCTTACGGGGAAAATTCATTCGCATAATGATAATTTCGCATAACATTGAGCTCTCAGGAACGGATTAATATAGTTATGCGGGGGTCCACTGTAATAATTTTTTTTTCAACAAAACAGCCATATCCTACTGAGGCAGGGTGACCCAAAAAAAAAAAATAGTTTTTCTGTTTAAATTTAGTAATTGATACAGGAGAAGGAGATACTAGCCCCTTGCTCCTGGCATTTTAGTCACTTCTTTTGACATGCATGGCTTACGGAAGAAGAATTCTGTTCCACTTCCCAATGGAGTCTGGTGTAATTACAGTATTAAATATAGATAGGAAGAGGAATTGGTAATTCTAGAATTCCTGTAAATTCAATGATCGAAGGAATACCTATAGACAAAACTTTCTACATTATGTTTGGGAGTAGAGCACGTGAGGTCCAACTAAATATTCTGCTTAACAACATCCTTATTGCTAATCATAATGAGGAAAAATTCCTGGGTCTGCACTTTGACAGTAACCTGAAATTCAACACCCATATCCAACACATAACAAAATATGTATCTAAAACAATTGGAATCCTCTCAGAGATACATTATTATGTGTACCACAAACAGCACTACTTACACTATACTATTCACTGATCTACCTCTACCTCAACTATGCTATTTGTGCCTGGGGTTCCATAACGACAAATCACTTAAAAACAATAAAAACCCAATACAAAGCTGCAGTGTAAATGATCACACAATCCACTGCCAGACAACCCCCTCCCCCTCACTCTTTAAAGACCTAAACCTACTCGCTATACAAAACATTCATTCGTTCTACTGTGCCACTTGCATTTACAAAACAATCAATTCTAATATAAATCCCAACCTGAAGTGCTTTCTTGACAGTTGCAATAGGACCCATGGACGTAATACTAGGCACAAAAATCTCTATGACATTTCCCATGTCGTGCTAAATCTTTGCAAAAACTCAATGTACATAAAAGGACCCAAAATCTTGAAATCTGCCAGAAATCTCCAGAACCAATGACTCAGCTAGCAATCTTAAAACTACAATTAAAAAACACCTTATCTCCTTAACCTATCCCAGCCCATCATAAATACATACATAAAAACTATACATGCGTTTGCTCAATATCATGAACACAGATAAAACATTATAATCAATATATACTCACTCTCAATATCTGTAATCATCTCAAATGTTAATCATTCCATTGTGTCCACCTGAGGTTAATAATCAAAATTGTAATTCTTCTCTACCAAACTTATTAAAGCCATATAGTATGAATGAACAGAATATTCAATTCTCTTGTATTCATTGTAACTCACCTAATAACCTTATGTACAAAATTACAGCACTATTATTGCCTTATTAATCTTAAGTTGGTCTTAAGTTTACCCAAAATGCTCTACATAAAAAAGGGCTTTAGGTATGTACACCAATTGTTATACTCCTTTGTACAAACATGTATCATGCTGAAATAAATTTATTATCATTGTATTTGTGGTTGATGAATTAGACACATGGGCAACACTTGGGTATCTTTACTGTGGAAATGTTCTGCTACACTGTGGCTTCATCAGTCCAATACAAAGTAGAATAGTGAAGATCAGAAGATTGAGATAATTAGTCCCTATGCCTGGAGTCGATGTAATCAGTCCATTAATCTTGAAAAGATTGATGGACTGATTACATCAACTCCAGACTGAGGGACTGATTACATCGACTCTCAGACTGAGGAACTGATTACATCAACTCCAGACTGAGGAACTGATTACATCAACTCCAGACTGAGGAACTGATTACATCAACTCCAGACTGAGGAACTGATTACATCAACTCCAGACTGAGGGACTGATTACATCAACTCTCAGACTGAGGAACTGATTACATCAACTCCAGGCTGAGGGACTGATTACTGATTTATTTATTTATTTATTTTATTTTTTTATTTATGTCTTTGCAAATAGTACGTACGTTGAGATTATGTATTTACAATAATGGGTTGCAATGCAAAGAGAGCCTCTATTATGCCCAGGCATTATGGGCCAACTTAACATTATTGGCTTACTGACTACTTAACACTAAGAATTATATCATAGTTGTACAGTAGTTTATTAATTATAAGTGAATCTAATTTATATAAGATAAAAGATATATTCTTTCTTTCTTTCAACACACCGGCCATATCCCACCGAGGCGGGGTGGCCCAAAAGGAAAAACGAAAGTTTCTCCTTTTACATTTAATAATATATACAGGAGAAGAGGTTACTAGCCCCTTGCTCCTGGTGTTTTAGTAGCCTCTTACAACATGCATGGCTTACGGAGGAAGAATTCTGTTCCACTTCCCCATGGAGATAAGAGGAATAAACAAGAATAAGAACTAGAAAGAAAATAGAAGAAAACCCAGAGGGGTGTGTATATACTTGTAAATGTATGTGTAGTGTGACTTAAGTGTAAGTAGAAGTAGCAAGACATACCCGAAATCTTGCATGTTCATGAGACAGAAAAAAGGACACCAGCAATCCTACCATCATATAAAACAATTACAGGTTTTCATTTTACACTCACTTGGCAGGACGGTAGTACCTCCCCGGGCGGTTGCTGTCTACCTACCTACTACCTAGGAAAAGATATATTCATATATTCAAAAATGTTTTTTTGTGAAACAATGATTCAATTATATTCCTGTCGACAATGGATAAAA